TGTGAGTCAAAATCTGCTTCTTCAGTGTTCAATTGATAAGGTGTTTGTGTACCCAGGGACTCTTTTCAAGTAATCAGGTTCAAGATGAAAAATTAACAGATTTCCGTAAAAATAAATAATGTTTGAAAGGCTCCAGCTATAAGCCATTTATTTTGATACGAAAAAAAATTCATTTGCTTCCAGTTAAATTTAGCTATTATGAGCTATTCTATAAAGTAATTGACATATTGCTAGAGCAAGAAAATAAGGTGAAATGAATAATGCCATGTCCAACTGATTATATTAATTTAAGTCCAATTTGAGATTCTTTCTATCAATAATTGATAAAAAAATTCAACAAATATTAAAGACATTTTTAGTTATAAGTTTCTTTTCAATGTTCTTTTTCTGTAGATGAGTGGACCAAATTGCCCATTAAATTTCAAGAGCCAAAAATAAAATTTGTTTTATTGAAGACTATGCAAACAAAATGACAAAAATATAGTATCATAGTTTTCTTATGTTTCTATTGTTTTAAATAACCCAGTGAGGGATATTTACATAATTTTCCATTTTTTTCCCTATGGTACAATTAAAGGTAAAAAAATATATATACTTTAAGCTATAATATCAAATAATTGTTTTGAAATGTTTGAATGAGAATATGGTTAACTGCTATTTTAAAAAGTAATCCTATATAATATAAGCATAATATGCAAATCGACCAAACAGCAGAACAACCAGTCAGCAGAGAGTGGGACTGGTGAGCAGGCAGCATCAGGCCAGCCAATACACATGCCAGCAGGCAGAGGGAGGGGATGGTGATGTGGGGGTGGTGGCGACCAGCAGTGGCAGAGGGGCAATCAGGGGGCTGGGGCCAGACACTCACCATCTGGTGCCATCCCCTGATCAGCCTGCCCAGTTGCCTCCATCAAAGGGAGGCCAGACTGCAGCTTAGGCTCACTCCCCACAAGAGGGTGCAGGCCAGGCTGAGGGACCCCCCCATCCTAGGGCATGAATTTTGGTGCAACGGGTCTTTAGTACATTTATAAGAATGCATTAGTTTATGGTAAACCATAAGAATGATTTGGAAAACATATAGAAGATGAAGTGTTTCTCTCACTACAGTTGTCCATTAACATATTTCTGAGAGAAAATTGAGTGAGCTATTTGCATTATGATTTTAAAAGTTGATACAAATTGAATTGTCCAAAAAGTAATTATTGACAGTATGCTACTGTAACATGAAGGGTGCCCACCTTTCTAGAAACTTACTGACACCTCTTCTTATTTTCATAGTATTAGTTTCACCATCTCCTGAGAGAGGGCTACTTCTTTTAAAATATTTTTCTGATCAATATTACGTAGCATTTATAAAATGCTTTGATTTATTCTCTAAAGTTGTTTTCTATGTTATCTCCATTTATTTAAGATGTTGAACCACAGAGCTATGGAAATGCATGTACAAATTCCTGCCAATATCTGGATTAGCTCTTGTGTTTAGATGAGTTAAGGGTACAAGTAGGAACATTAAAAGTTATTCTGCTTAGCAGTACAGTGAATAAATATCTATACTAATAAAAGAGTAATGTGCTAATTAGACTGGATGTCTTCCAGACATCCTTCTGGCTGTCCTTCCGAACAAAGCCATGGTGGCGGGGGCCAAGGCAGAGACGGTTAGGGTGATCAGGCCAGTAAGGGAGAGCAGTTAGAGGTGATCAGGTTGGCAAGAGAGAATAGTTAGGGGCAATCAGACAGGCAGGCAGGTGAGCAATTAGGAGCCAATGGTCTTGGATTGCAAGAAGGATATCCGACTACCAGTTTAGGCCCAATCCCATAGGGTCCTGAATAGGAGAGGATGCAGGCTGGGCTGAGGGACATCCCCCCTTCAGCCTGGTACACAAATTTTGTGCACTGGACCTCTAGTGTGTGTATGTGTGTGTGTGTGTGTGTCTGTATAGTAAAAATCACTTTCATGGCCTCTAATATATAGTATATATATATATATTTTTTTACCATATATTGTGTGTATATATATATATATATATATATGTGTGTGTGTGTGTGTGTGTGTGTGTGTGTGTGTGTGTGTATGTGTGTGTATATATGGTAAAATCATTTTTAGAATCAGAAATAAGTTTTTCTTACAGAGAAATTTTATAAGACAATTAAGAATACATTATATTCTTACAATACCCTAGTCTTTGCTATAATTGATGAGAGTTATACCTGAGAGGCATTTTAAGGGGACAAAGGTCTATTACTAGCCTCATTACCACTATGCTGTCATGATAGAATAGAAACCTTTTATCATTCAGCGAGAAAAATAGAAATTGAAAAGGTAGACATCCAAGGTTTCTAAGTTCTGGGGTTGTAATGTACAGCATGGTGATTCTTATTAACAACACTGTATGATAGCCTTGAACATTGTTAAGAAAATGGATTGTAAATGTCCTCAGCCACCCAAAGAAATGATAATTATGGGAAGTAATGGACTTTTAACTAATCCTACTGCGGTAATCATTTCACAATATATTATTAGGGTATCTCATTATCATATTGTACATCTTAAACTGACACCATGTCATACATAATTTATATCTCAATAAGGTTGAGAAAAAGAAAAGAAATTCTTTGAAATGACAAGAAAAATTAAGATGTCCAGTTCCCTTAGCAAGAGCTTTCTTAGCTCTTAAGGCTTATTCAGAGAGTTAATCCAAATCACCCGGATGAGCCGCTTTTCTCCTGAGAAACCAGCGACGTCTCTGAAATGGGTCAGTGTGCTTCAGCCACTCAGCTGTCTTCTCCAGACACAGCCTCTGGCGCACAGGTGCTACGTGGAGGGTCTCTCTGAGCCTCGCTCAGGCTCCGGCAGGAACTTGGCAACCAGCGGGTCTTAGAAGGGACTGCTCTCTGCGATGCATGAGGAGTCCTTTACAAAGCCTCAGCTGTTCAGGTCAAACCACCCAAACCCTCAACCCAAATGAGAGTGGGAGAGAGGAAGAATGGAACTTGGAGTTGAAGTATGAAATAATGCTTTTCCTTGGTTTCCATGAAAAAGCCATTAGAATTTCATATACCCTGAATAATGACAATTTTAGTAATTTTGGGCTCTTTTAGGAATAAACCTGGATAATGGACAGGCTTGTGATGAGTTATTTCCCAATAGAACATAAACATATTTCTTCAATCAAGTGTTTTGTTTTGTTTTTCCTTCTATAAAGAATGACAGAAGGTGAATACGCTGTCATTTCCTCTGCAGTATGCTCTGGCTTTACTAGACCTTTAAAAGAAATACTACATTTAAAAAATGTTTAACTTTTAGCCGGGACCGGTTTGGCTCAGTGGATAGGGCGTCGGCCTGCTGACTGAAGGGTCCTGGGTTTGATTCTGGTCAAGGGCATGTACCTTGGTTGCGGGCACATCCCCAGTGGGGGGTGTGCAAGAGGCAGCTGGTTGATATTTCTCTCTCATCGACGTTTCTAACTCTCTGTCCCTCTCAATTCCTCTCTGTGTAAAATCAATAAAATATATTTAAAAAAAAAATGTTTAACTTTTAAAAACTCTAATATAGTTGAGGAAGGAAATTTAAGGCAACTGGCTTAATGCCCTCTTATAATGAGGAATTTCTGAAACACATGTTGGTTTTGAATATTTGCATGTTTAAGTTATTATTAGAAATAAACCATTTAGTTGGTAAACTTACTACCACAAATAAAATCATATAATGATGTAGATAAAGTATATATAGCAAACTAACCCCCCCCCCCCAAAAAAAAAAAAAAATCATGCTGCAATACTTTCTAGACTAGCCAACTCAATTATTGTAGATGAATATAGGCAAACATTTCTGAGACCACTAGATGGCATTCATACACTGTCATTTTGGCCAAATAAGGTCTTTCAGAGCTTTTCATGATATGCAGGTTAGGGGGAACGCACATGTTACCCATTATTGGCAATATTTTCCTATCATTTAACACAACGACAAAGCCCTATTTTATAGTTTCCTTCAAATCAAAAAAGAAGTATTTATTGAAAGCTTTGTTCAAGGATTCTTCCTTCGTGCGGGGAGTTGAAAACCACCTTTCTTGTGGTGGTGATGTGTTTACTTAACACATCTAGAAGAAATTACGCTGTGCACCGTATGCCACTTAATTTTGCTTTGTTTCATTGCTTTTTTACTTCATGTTGTTTTCTCTCATGCAACGATTCCTCTAAAGGTTAGAAAAAGCACACAGTCACAAATATTACAATTTTCAAATATTCAAATATTTTAGATGGAACGGCACTAATCTTCAAAATTAGGTGGGTGGGTGAGGAGAAATTAACCAAAAATGTATATGCAGGTCTGCATAACCCATATAACCCATAGTGTGGTGAATGCCTAGGTGGGGGGAGGGTGCAAGTTGGAGTGTTTAATGGGGTGCGAAGGGGAGGGACATCTGTATTACTTTCAACAATAAAGATAAATTTTTTGCCCTAACCAGTTTGGTTCAGTGGATAGAGCGTGGACCTGTGGACTGAAAGATCTCAGGTTCCATCCTGGTCAAGGGCATGTACCTTGATTGCAGGCACATCTCCAGTAGGAGGTGTGCAGGAAGCAGCTGATCAGTGTTTCTAACTCTCTACCCCTTTCCCTTCCTCTATGTAAGAAATCAATAAAATAGATTAAAAAATAAAAATATTTTTTTTAAATATACAGATATAAAAGAAAAAAATTAATGTTTATGAAAATAGGAGGTCAAGAAATCTTGATGGTTCACAAAAGGCTCTTTCTGTTGTACAGCTTAAAAATGTCTAAAAAAGTCCTCCTTCCTGCTTTGAAACCTAAACCAAAATGGCCTTTGCAATAGCAGATTATTATTTAATCTGGGAGATAAACCATAGAATGAAAACTTTCTGACTCCACACTTCAAACTAAACTGTTGAGAGAAGATATTGATGGGGACAAGTAAACCAAAGATCAGCGTTTTTAGTAGAAGAACTAGGCTAATAATAGCATAAAATCCAGGACTTACCTGTTCTAATATGTTCTGAAGCCTCTCTATCTCACAGTCGATGACAAATTTCTTCTCTTGTCTTCTATCCAGTTCTTCTAGAAGTTGTCTATAGCTGACATCACTAAAATTTTCCACACATATAGCGCTGACGTGCCAACCATTTTGTCCTGCTTTTTCCATAATAGCTTGAAGTATTGAATATCCTAGTGGGGAAAAAATCCAGGTGGTTACTAAGAGCATCCTTTACTTCCCTTTAATTATGTGCACAAGCACTGGTTCCATACCTACATTTTTATGTTTCAAAATATACAGTGGATGCTTATAAATTTAAAAACACGAGTGGTTATTTTCAAGTCATTTTTTTTTTTTTTTTTTGATTCGGGACAACAAGATCCTTTAAAATATTTCTTGAATAAAACAGAAAAAAGGCAACATCCTTCTTTGAGAAAGCTCTCAAATTTTCTCTACTGAAGAATATGACATTGCTCTAGACACATTTTAATAAGATAAACCAAAAATCCAAATACAGTACCACTTGTAATCAATAATAATTTCGTAGATGTTTTTTGGTAATTTTACACAATAGATAGAATTAATTATGAGCCAGTGTTTTGACTCTCCCTTTGAGCAAGGTAGCAATGGCATTTTTTTAGTTCAACTACACAAGAGAAGACGTGAAAGGAACAATGTTCCCATCGACAGTAAGAGGGAGCGCCTGGGAATCTCCCCCATTGGCCCAGTGGCTACAGGGGTGGGCTCTTACACCAAGTGTGCAAAAAGCTAGAAAGATGAATGGACAGGGCCCCAGGGCAGGAAAGTTAGCAAGATAATTAGGTTGATAAAAAGCCCTCCTCTCCCTATCTCTGTAAGAACAGTGGGCTTGAACAGGAAGGAGGGATGATCTTTGAGGCGCAAGGCCGCTGCTCTCCAGGTGGCTACGCTTTCTTTTTACACCAGCACCGGTTGGATGAGTTTGGCTTTCCTTGTGGCAGGCAGCCGAACCTACGTTTTTGGTTATGGCGATGCAACAATGTTTATGGCGGACCCATTATTGAACATGGGAAAGCATTGTTTGACGCTTCTTGTAGCGTGGGAATACTGTTGAACGGGGATGAATTGAACGACCCACGGCGTGAGAGACGTCACTGTGTACTCACATTTATAGTCTGGTGGAGGAGCTAGGCATTCCAATTCACACCCGTAAGTTAGTTTAAAAACCATAATGATAACTGCCCCCAAGGTAAAAGTTTGGCCCGAGGAAAAGCTTGGCTAAATCTGTCTGGATGGGACAAGGAAAAATGCCATGGAATAGAAACAACTTGAGTTGGGTCTTGAAGGTTGAGAGGTACCTCCAATATTGCTGAGGGAGGAGGGGTACTCATTAGTGGGAGACAGGCTTCCAAAGAGGACTGGATAGTCTCCACCCTGTACTTGGTCCGGATTTTCTGCATGGGGAAGGGAAGTCGCAGTTTTAGTGTCTGGGTCAAAGACAAAGCGGCAAACTTATGAATCTAGCACTTAGAGCACTTCTTCATGCCAACATTGTCTTGACCTTGCACTTTTTACAGCTTTTTAAGTTATAAAATGAAATGTGAGAGAAAGGGAAAGGATACTGGGATCTATGAATAGCCCTTAAACAAGGGTTGGTTAAGATCAGAGCCTCTTAGTGAGTTAGTTCCCCTGCTTTGGTTTAGCATAAAAAATATGCTAGTCCACTTTGAGATGCCCTGGTTGGTAGCTCAGTGGTTAGAGCCTTGGCCCCTGCGTTGAAGGGTCCTGAGTTCAATTCCTGGTCAAGGGCACCTACCAGAGTTTTGGGTTCCACACCCAAGCTAGTGTGCAAGAAGCAACCAATCTATGTGTCTCTTTCACATTGATGTTTCTTCCCTCTCTCTCCTCCACCCCGCCCCCCCTTCCATTCTCTCTAAATATATCCTCAGAAGATGAGCAAAAAAGGTTTAACACTTATTGGAGCTCATTCTATGGCATCGGCCTGTTGTCTCTCCCTGCTCTGGCCCCTGGAGTTGGAATGGAGAGCTGGATGAAAAGTGAGGACTTAAAATGAGTATACAGCAAGATAAGAGCACACTTATCAGTTTTCATTGGTATGTGTGTCTCAGATTCAAAGCTCTTGGTTTTTAGGTATGTGTTCACGAATGTTCAGTGAATATCAACAGATGGAACTGATGGTGAAATCATATTTGAAACATAAATTACCTGATATCCTGCCAAATGAAATATTGTGGCAGTCAGGATTCATTTTTATCTAAATGAAAAAAAAAAATCCCCAAAGAGGACATGTTAATTACTATCTATTGCTCCATTTAGTCTTTCCTTTTGTAATGTATGCTGTAATTATTTTTTCAAATCTTACCTAGATTACCCCCACCTCCCACCCCAAACCCAGTGCTCTTCCCCTAGTTTCCTATTTGACACACAGGTAACATGATTAGAGTCCTAGCTTAATGTCCATGCCCATGCCTCATTTATTCTGTTACTGGGACTTCTCCCCTGATCATAAGTGAGGCAATGTTCCTTTTATTCATTTTTGACACCTATGAACATGTGGTTTGTTTTTTGTTGTTGTTGTTTTACAATACCAATTGACAGCATACTATTTTTTTCTCCCTTTACTTATTGTCATACCAAAATTATTTAAAGACTTTTTGCTTGCTTGATAATTTTTTGCATGTTGTAAAAATGAGAAACATTGGCCACATGTCAAAGGGGTCTTCCTGCTCTTTGGGAATCAATCCACAGCTTGGCAGTTTTTTAGTTAGTGTTTTTGTTGTTGTTGTTGATTTTTTTTTATTTGTTTTGTTTTGTTTTTTTCATCATGTGGTTGTTTATTAGCTTCATGTCAGTAGTAGGCATCCAGGTTGTTATTTTCCTGCTTACAGAACTTTTTTACATGAATAAAACAAAAATAAATTCAACGTTTTATCTGATTTTTCAGATTTATAAATAACACTAGTCCTGAAATAAGACAAAACCCTAGAATACAATCTTCATTAAATGGCAAAGAAAGTTGGTTGTCGAAAAAGAACCATTAATCTCAATCAGAAATAAATGGCATCTTTTCAATACAGTACAAAAGACTAATAATTATAGTTTCAGAGCCTGGTTGTAAACTTGGATTCTTTAGTAAGCTGTGTTTGATTTTAATGTTTTATTTTTTCATTGCTACTCAGATGTGTGTCCTATTTATTTGCTAAGATAGTTGGGAATACATTGTAAATTGCAGCAAATACTGCTATTGAATCTATGATTATGTAACTTACCTGTTATATAAACTGAAAAATCACAAGTCAAATCGTACTAATTCTACATCTGACTGTGATTTGTAGCTTCTAGTTACTAGACAATCTGTTATGCAATATTGTTGGCCAGAAAATGAATACTGTAGTTTTAGATGAATATTATTACACTAATGGGAAATTCACTACTGAAAGGATCTTTCAAGTCTTCTTCTTCTTAAAAAAAAAAAAAGCTGTCTAATATTTTAATCAATATAATTTACTGAAAACCTACTACATCCAAGATTCTATAAGATGTGTCAAGATGTGATCTTGATTCTACAAAGAATCAACTGTCTAGTAAAACTGATACTTAGGTAGCTATTATACAAATTATATAGTATTATATAAATAACTTCAAAACCAAAATAATTTGAATATAATAGTAGGGAGGCAATATTGGGCACAAATCACATTATTAGATTAGTAAGTCAGGGCTTTTCCCATAGTTATTTGAAGAGCACTATCAATTACACCTACAAATATTTTAACTGTTATCTCATGCAGTTATATTATCAATTATGTTAGATAGAATTGTAGTGATATAAACAAGCTTGAGCTACTGCAGCCTTACACATCAATACTTTTGTATCATCTATGGATAAGGACCTATTTTGGATGAGTAATGCTATCCAGAGATATAGTTGCTAGCAACACAAGCTGAGCTTATTTATTTGATGTTCTCTTTTACAAGTTATTTGATTCAACTATCTGTATGTACACAGAGAGGCAGGAAGAGAATCAGGAGAAATTTATATCAGGGTTAGTTTAAAAAAGTAGGAAGTTAACCATCTGATATAAAGAAACTTCATTTAGCTAATAATAGAAGTGTTCATAATGCTTTTTAATTAGGTCATTGGTGCACTCATGAGGAGTAATATCAATGGAATGCTGGGTACTTCAGTCATATTTCGTGAGAGTGAGGATTGAGGAGAAAATGAGAATTGAGAAGGTAGAAATTATCAAGAAAACTCATCAGGGTAAGGTAGTAATGAGATGAGGGGTATACTGTAGTCATGAATATGAAGGGATAGAGCAACATCTAGGTCATGGGCGATGGTTTGGGAATGAGAGAGCTGGGTAAGACCCCTGAGGAGTTGCAAAGCTTGAAAAGAAGTAACAAAGGGAGGCAGCAACAGCACGTACTTCCTCAAATGAAAGCCTCGCTCATTAATCTTGTAAATTGCTATGCGGGTCCCCATTGCTGCACCATTGATTTCTCTGGTCTGGCACAATCACCAGCATTTGAAAAGAAAGGTGTGTGTGTCCGGGAGTTTATTTCCTGTTGTGTGTAGCCTCAGTCACAGAGAGGAGCAGGAGCCTGCCGTCCTCCCGGCCCTGAATGCCACCGTCCAGGAGCTGCAGAACTGCAGAGCGGCTTTGACCACCTTTCAGTTTGTTTCTAACGCCCTAGGGCCCTGAAACCTGTCCAAGGCTGCAGCCGGGCCCAGAGGTCTCGGCATGCAGACAGAGGGACTGACGCTGCAGCTGGTTACAATCGTCTGCAGCTGTGACTCTAGCATTTATTTATGCCGTAGTTCCATTGGTGAAAATGAGCAAAGATCTTCCAACTCATTCTGTTTGAAGCCACACATTTGAACCTACGATAAGATGGAACGTCTTTAGTGTTCCCTTTTCTACAAATAACTAAGAGTAAAAACAGAAAATCCATCCTCAAAGGTGGTCCTTCTGGGTCCTGAGGCCTTTTCCATTTTCTGACAATGACACTCAGTGTCACCTGATTCCTACTTTGTAGTGTTCATATGCAATTCACCTGGTGTCGTCTAGGGGCGTTTGATGCTGTAAATCTTGCAACTTTCCTGTAAACTGCAAGGCAATCTAACCCTTATTACTACAGGCAGATAGCAGGCTGTTTCAACGATTTGCCACAGGTTCAAGTCACTGCA